AATTCAGAATCTTGCAAAACCCTATTTTCTTCTTCTTTTTTTTCTGAATTATTTGACCTTATCATTATTAAGTATGGGAACGGATTTTATTCTTTATTTTTCTATTTCTTTTCATTTTTCTCATATAATTTTACACTTAACACGAGTTCTCCAATATGGCAAAAATAATTGCAATACCCTAATCAAGTTGATATTAATATTAGGAGTTATGATGGTTTGTGGACCTGCCGAATATAGTCTGAGAACCATAATTATATATCTATATTTATATTTATATATATGTATCTATGTATGTATAGCTTGTATTGATAATGGCAAAAAGAGAGAGAGAGAGAGAGAGAGAGAGAGAGAGAGAGAGAGAGGAAAAATAAACCCAAATTTCCTGCCTTGGATCAATTTGTGCTTAGTATATTCGTACAAAAGCGACACAACTTTTGAATCCATTATACTTGTGGAAACGGGGGTCCAATTGAAAACTCCAAAGAGAACCGAGTTTGATACAAGTGTTTATGTAAACATAGAACTGGCAACATCTTCGTAGATTTATTAGGTATCCTGTATCCATCAGTAGTTATGTTTTTCTTCTTCAGGAAAAAGCAAAATCATGTATTTCTTTCAATCCAAACAAAAAGAAAAGCAAATAAGATAGTTATTTGACACATTTATTTCTTTGTTTTTCTTTTTTTTTCTTTTTTTTTTCTTTTTTTTTTTGTTTTCGAGAGAGCCGTGGAGTGGAGTTATAAATACAGAAGTTGTTGTATCTAGATTAACGTCAATATAACTATTAATGTTTGCTATATTTTCGGCTACGTTAATTTTTTAGTATAAATGATCTTTTTTTTTTCTCGAGATATTTCTTTTATTTATTCATTATTTTATTAATTAAACTGAGAACTACTTTCTTTTTAGATATAATATTTGTATAATATAACTATATTAGAACAATCCTTCAAACTTGAACAATGAATTTAAATGACAAAAAGATTAATCATGGGATCTCTTATGATAAAGTCAATTGTAGAATTAGGCCTGCAACTACGCAATATTTTAAATTGTCTAGAATTATTAAGAATTAAACTTCTTATCATAAACACAAAATCTAAAATCAACTCCGTAAAAAACTCCTAGGTTGCGGGGGTATTAATAATACCTTATTAGTTATTATCATGTAATGATTTTTATCCAATTACTATCGTTGTCTCAAGTTATATATGACATTAATTGTATTACTGTCCCGTTAATTATGTGATCATATATGGTGTTTAGTGTTGTATTTAATAGTTATAGAGAAAAATATAGTTGTCACCGACAAAAAGTGGAAATTCGAAAGTGGAGTTGGGACAAAAAAAAAAGCCTTTATCGTGCATTATTATAAGAAAAATCAATATATATCATCATCATCATTATCATGAACAAATAGTAGTTTCAAAAATTAACAAAAAAGATATGTATATATCATCAACAAGGACGGTCCATGAAAGAGTGGTAATGAATGATTACCTGAAATTGCATGCTCAACAGTTCAATTTAATGTCTAACTTACTAAAAAAACTTTTATTATTATTATTATCTTTAATAAATGATGGGAGGAGATAATTGACATCAAAATTTTCTAGAACATTTTATTTAGTTAGGTTGGCACCAACTAAAAAACTTCTCCTATTATTTATTAAATAAAAATAAATAAGAAATATGAAAGAAAGCCCGAAGACATGCACAAGCAACCCTAAGCCAAGGCCTAACGAAACAAATTAAAAATAAAATAAGCAAAATCCAAATTAAACTTATAGAACTCCCTACCAATGAAAAACCACAAATTATTTCCAAGACAAAAGACCCACGTTAAAATCTTGAGTGGACAAATCTAGTAGGAAAAACATCATATAATTAAGGAAAAGGATAGTTCGTGACTTTGAGCATAAGTTACCCAATAACACTTTAGACTTCTGCAGCTTAAACATATATGAAAATTTCTCTTCTTTGTGCTGTAGAAGAATTAGCTTCTCAATAGCTAGCAAGTGATCTATGTTATTGTTAATTGATTAATAGTCAATTATTTAGCACATGCTTCGGTTATCTAAAACGACATGCATGGACCATCTCCGGTATTATCAGAATTAAATTTGTCAAGTCTCTGTTTAACTATGAGTGTACATGTCTTTCATACACGTATACACATAAGGATATGGCAAATTCTCTTCAATGGTATTTCTATATAGGATAAATGCTAGCATCACTTATCCTGTTATTTTTTTGTCACTTTCTGCATTTATTGTTTGACACGTGAACTCCACTATCTTACATCTTGTCAAACAGTAGAGTCCACGTGTCAAACAGCTGTGATAATATATTATGTTAGTATATCATGTTAGTCGAGTCCATTTTTTATTTAAATGATAATATATTATGTTAGTGGAGTTCATGAGTCAACCAGGGGTCCTTTTATGCTGCCGAGATGCTTTTTTCCGGCACCGTGCCGGGAGATACGATAATTTGTGAAATTTTACGTTAGAACTTATAAACTCGAACAATAAAGTTACAAAAGTTACGATAAACATGTTAACTTTGAAGGAGTACAATGAATCGTTCGAGTTTGCAAGTTCCAACATAAAATTTACAAGTTATCGTAATTCCTTTAAAATTCACAAATTTATCGTAACTTTTACAACTTGATCATTCGATTTTGTAAGTTTTAACGTAAAATTTCACAAATTAATATATCACTCGGCACGGTACCGTAAAAAAGCATTCAAACAGCATAAAAGTTCATGTTAAACAATGAATGCATAAACAAAGAGAGTACCAAAAAAAGTAATGGTAGCATTTCTCATAAAAGCGAAATTAAAGAGAATATGATCAGTTTCTTTTTATATCAAACCGAAGAAATTAAAACGTGTAGCCAAATACAAAATACTCAATTAATTAAGAGGTTAATGTGAGACTAATTAGGATCTATAGCTGTATTAATTGTCATTCTAAAAATAATATGTATAACGGAAAGTTTCCACTATTGCCTCGGCAAAAACGATCGTGTTTCATTCTAGGCAATACGACGCCGTAAAATCCGGTGTAAGGCAAATTAATGTCGGCTGGTCGCTCACCCAACCCAACCAAAACCAGTCACATGATGATCACAAGCACATAATATTACAAACCAAATACAAAAAGAGAATAAAGAAGAAGAAATATAATAAATAAAACCTTCAAAAAAATTAATAAAATCAATAAATATTTCCGTAATAAAGATGTATTCTAACAAACTAGCTAATACTAATATTGCACATGATAGGCACTTAGTAACTCATATGCTACATATATCTAATACATTTTTATTATCAATGGACGTATAGCAAATAAAATTTGCCTAATATTGTACAATGCAATATGCATTATATATATCTCAAGAAATCAATCAACAAGTTGAATTAGTGCATAAATTGATGATATTGAAACATTAACGTAAAAACTAGTATATGCGTACGTAATATTGTTCTTATACATCAAATATATATGATTAAAGTTACAATAAGTCATGCATACACATATACACATTGTTTATGTGTAGAAATAATGGTAAGGACTTAATTCAAATAATACCCATTATTTAATATCAATTTGCATAACATATGAGTTTTGTTTCAATATATTGATCGGTGTTTAGAAAGTTGTCAAGTCAATTAATATTATAAAAAAAATGTATTTATGTATCGATAAGAATATGACAACTTAGCAATTTATATTCGTATGTATTGGTATTAAAAGTTGAGATTAAAATTGGTATTTCTCGCTATGCTTTATGTGTACGTAGTTCCTCAACTAATCTCATTAACTTCTACACCTTCATTAAATGCTAGAATTTAAGGTAGGGCTGCACTACCCTGCAAAATTAGGTGGGCAATTCGATCTCATGAGTCATGAGCTAGCTAGAAAGAGAAAGAAAGAACTAAAGAAAAAGGGGAGATTAATTAAATAATAATAATAATAATAATAATAAATTCAAGATAGAACTAGAAAGAGATAAAGGCCCCGTTCACTTCACCAATTCGAGTTTAGAATTCGAGTTTTGCTACAGTAAAAAGCTATCACAAACAATCACATCTAACTTTTTTGCTACAGTAAAAAACTCTCACATAAAATCACATCTCAACTTGAATTACAAACTCAAATCAGCGAAGTGAACGGACCCAAAACTCATTCATTTCATCGATTTGAGTTTAAAATTCAAGTTTTGCTACAGTAAAAAGCTCTCAGAAACAGTCACATTTAACTTTTTTACTACAGTTTAAAGTTCTCACATAAAATCACATCTCAACTCGAATCATTGAACCAAACGGGCCCAAAATTTGAAGACTTTTTTGGTGTTGAGAAATTTGTAGGGTTAAAATATCGTGTGAAGTATCAATTGGGTGAGAGAAAGAAAGAACTAAAGAAAAAGGGGAGATTAATTAAATAATAATAATAATAACAAATTCAAGATAGAACGATAAAGGGATAAAATTTGAAGACTTTTTTAGTGTTGAGAAATTTGTAGGGTTAAAATATCGTGTGAAGTATCAATTGGGTGGCTTAGCTTTTCGTTTAGGAAGGGTTGAAACTGGGTGGTTGTGGGTTTATTGTTGGCCTTTTCATAAAATTTTTTATATTTTGTATCTCCAACGACCTCTGTTGGCATTAATGGTATAGCGTTGTAAAGCTAGATAGCAAAAAAGTCTAGACTATCACTAAAAGGATCTGGAAAATAGAAACCGTATACTATATATGTATTATAAATAAAAAAAAATAGTGAAAACAATAATATATTAATTATACTAACAGATCAATGGAAACGAGATTCAATTCCAGGCTGTACAGTTTTTTTTTTTTTTATATTATAATTTATTTCTTCATTCATTTTTCTTCTACTTCTATAAATTACCTTTTCTTTCTCGTTTTCCTTTCTCTTCTTACTCACAACACTTGCTGTTTTCTCTTCTCTCCTACAATATTCTTCACTACTGTAATATTTTCAGTTCCTCTTCAATATTTTTTCCTTTTAACTCTCTCTTTATATAGAATATATATACTTACATACACATCGTTTCTTTTACGTCAAAAGTACTAAATCCCAGAAATCAAATATCCCTCAGACCTCATTTTTCTTGCATGAATCTGATCTGGGTTTTGTTTCCTAAGCAAATCCCAGTTCTAAATCTCTACTTTTTTTGCTTTATATACATATATATTTACATATATACACGTACCAACAATTGGATAGTAGTTACACCTCAAGATTTTTTTTTTAATCGCCACTTTTTCAGAGATGTTTTTTTAATCTGGCTATAGGTTTTTTAAGTTTTCCGGTGATTTGCTAGTTCAGAATAATTCAGTGAGCGTCAATTGGATAAGCGGATCACATGGAGGCATCAACGGCCCTGATGATCTTATCAGCTGTAGCGGCGTATATGATATGGTTCAGATTGATCTCGGGGTCAATGAAAGGTCCACGTGTTTGGCCCATATTCGGAAGTCTTCCGGGCCTAGTCCAGCATTCTCAACGCATGCATGACTGGATCGCGGAAAATCTACGCACGTGTGGCGGCACGTACCAGACTTGCATATGTGCGATCCCATTCCTGGCTCGGAAGCAAGGCCTCGTGACTGTCACATGCGACCCGAAAAACTTGGAGCACATCTTGAAGGTCCGGTTTGATAATTACCCCAAGGGCCCCACTTGGCAAGCCGTATTCCATGATCTGCTGGGTGATGGGATCTTCAACTCTGATGGTGACACGTGGGTGTACCAGCGTAAGACTGCCGCGCTGGAATTCACCACCCGTACGCTCCGCCAAGCCATGGCTCGGTGGGTGAGTCGTGCCATCAAGCTTAGGTTCATCCCGATCCTCGAGACGGCTCAACGCGAAGCCAAGCCGGTTGATCTTCAGGACCTCTTGCTTCGGCTCACTTTTGACAACATATGCGGCTTGGCGTTCGGGAAGGACCCGCAAACGTTGTCTGCTGAGCTTCCAGAGAACAGCTTTGCTACGGCTTTTGACCGAGCCACCGAAGCCACGCTACAACGCTTCATTTTGCCTGAGATAATGTGGAAGCTCAAGAAGTGGCTCGGGCTTGGGATGGAAGCCAGCTTGAGCCGAAGCCTCAAACATGTGGACGAGTACTTGTCCAGCATCATCGAAACACGCAAGCTTGAGTTGCTGAGTCAACAAAATGGTGCAAGTGGGGCCACACATGACGACTTGCTGTCCAGGTTCATGAAGAAAAAGGAGTCATTCTCAGACGAGTTCCTCCAACACGTGGCGCTGAATTTCATCCTAGCTGGACGCGACACGTCATCAGTCGCGTTGAGTTGGTTCTTTTGGTTGGTGACTCTGAACCCCAAGGTGGAAGAGAAGATCCTCACCGAAATTTGCACGGTTTTGTTAGAGACGCGTGGTAGTGACCTCCATAAGTGGGTGGAAGACCCGCTAGCGTTTGAAGAAGTTGACCGATTGATATATCTTAAGGCAGCATTATCCGAGACCCTTAGGTTGTATCCTTCGGTGCCGGAGGACTCTAAGCACGTAATTTCTGATGACGTTTTGCCCGACGGGACATTTGTGCCGGCGGGCTCATCCATCACCTATTCGATTTACTCCACTGGCCGAATGAAGTACATTTGGGGCGAAGATAGCCTAGAATTCAAACCCGAGAGGTGGTTAAGCTCTGATGGAAAAATATTTGAGGTGCGAGATTCCTATAAATTTGTGGCATTTAACGCGGGTCCGCGAATTTGCTTAGGGAAGGATTTAGCTTACTTGCAAATGAAGTCAATAGCGGCGGCAGTGCTGCTGCGACACCGGCTCACCGTGGTGCCGGGCCACTCTGTCGAGCAAAAGATGTCATTGACGCTGTTCATGAAGTATGGCTTAAAGGTCAGCGTACGACCAAGGGACTTGAAGCCGATTTTGGCAAGAATATGCAAAAGTGACTCGTGCGCTAAAGAGGCCCTCACCAACGGTAACCACGAAGGGGGTGTTGAATTGTTGGCCGGTGTTGCCTAGTAGGGGTAATCATTATTGGGTTTTTGAACTTTTTAAGGTTTAAAGTTTTAATTTTGAATACAAGGCATATAGTAGTACTTGGGGTAAATAATCAAGGTAAAGTTTAGAAGCAAAGAGTCTATTTGTGATTCATTATGACGGGTGCTTCTCATCTTTGGTGGGGTTATTGGTTTCCGTCATGGTAAATCATGATAGCTTCGCTTTAGTGTTTAATTTGTGTTCCAAATCAATAAAGGAGATGAATAGACTTAATAGTGGAGTAGTAAGTTAGTTTTGATTATGAGCCATTTTAGGTCTCTCTCATCTCACATGGCACATATATATTGGGTAAGCATAGTATATCCATTCATGGAAATAGAATTTGTTGTATTACCAAAATACTATTACTATATATATATATATATTAATATATATTTTTGGCTTTTTTGGGGGTATATGTATTTGGTATACATGAGTAGTATGTATGAAGTACTGTTTGATATAAGAAGCAGACAAAGTTAATTCATGTTATGTGCCTAATAAAGAGTATAATTAATTTTGAGTTTCAAGTACAAGTAGCATCTCATGCAAATTGCAAAGACATTTGTGTTTGAAAATTTTCTCTTCTATGTACTTTGGTTTCCGAATTCTAATTCTAATTCAACTTAAATAGAAATTTAAGCGTGTTACTAGAATCACAAAGTCAATAGGTGAATTAAGTAAGGGCACAACTAATATTCTCAATAGCAATTTATTGAAATATTTGTTATAGGTTATTATTCTGTCGAATTATTTATTATACTAGGCTTGCCAAAATCAATTCGTTGAACTTTGATTTTTTTCCCCCAAGGCCCAATTATCGGAAGAAAAAAAAAACAAAAATAAAAATGAAACAGATAAAAAGAGATGATTTGCAAAACCAAGCTCAATAGTACTTATAGCACTCGTAGTGTGGACACACATCAGAAACTTATCAGATCCCTTAACTTGTGTTAAACTTCTTTTTTTTTTACAAGTAAAATAGAACCAAATAAAATTGCTCTAATTGCAATCTTCTTTTTGTCATACTTTGATCGGTTTCAACTTTTTTGTGTCACTTATCAGATCCCTTAGTCTTTTCTTAACTTTCCGTGCAAGAAACAATCTTGCGTCTGAGGGGGTTAATCAGACAAAAACAAGCTAGCAATAAGTAGTTTTTATTATTATTTTTCTTTTCCTATGATGAGTTGGGCTAATTAATTATTAACAATTAGTGATTATCTGTATAATAAATAATTAGTTGATAGAAATACGCATAACACTAATTTAATGCAGACAACGGATGCATAACCATGAAATGTTGTTCTGTGTATCAGTTTGGATCGCAAAGCTTCAAATATATATACACACATATACAGTAGGGGCGTACATTCAATTTTTTTAACAAATTATCTTAGAGAGAGCATATAAGAAAATATATTTATTTTAGTGGGAGCATATAGTATTTCAGTGAGGAGTTAAGTGTAAAATTTTAAACTTTTTAAAGGTAATATTTTTTTTCAAAAAACTTTGACTGGACCCTACTGAGCTGTACTTAAATCCGCCACTGCACATATATATAAGCGAATTCTACATTGTCGGTATTAAATTCCGTCAAGTTGAATATTATTTTTTCATTTTGATATGATTTTAATTAAATTTTATATTTAAAATTTTATATTTCTAAACGTGATCAATATTGGATTCTTTTAATTTTGAATAATATAATGCTGAAAAATATACATCAGGCATAGTGGTCATAGAGTTTCATAACAACAGCCCAAGTATGCTTCAGAGAATGGGAAAGATTATTCCCGGTTGAATTTTTTATTTCAAGGACATTTTTAATTTTTTAATTTCCTCCTTTTAAAAAAATACTAAATGTCACCTATGAATTATGATTCTCAATAAAATAAATAGTTTGTTTAGTATTATATTATTATGTGATAGCAAATGGGCCGGGCATGAGTCTCCGATTGAAATGTCATATGGTAAAATGTGATAGCAAAAAAATTAGTGGTGTTAATTAGTAATATTTGTCCTTATCTGTCTCCTTATTCATATGATAGAAATAAAAAGTAAGTTAGCATATTATTAATTTTGATGGAGTTATTGTAAATGTCCCTAGTATTTTTTTGTTTGTTTGTTTGTTTTTTTTCAGAATTTCACTCATCAAAATACCTTTGAGCAAGTATTTCCAAACAACTCACTTATTAAAGGGCCATAGACCCAAAACCAAACACCCCTAATGTCACACACACACATATATATAATATAATGGGAGAAAGGGAAATATGTCAAGATTTGAGATGAATTAAAATTAATAGGTCAATAATTTATATAAGTTAATAAATAGGTCAAATTATTGTTTTCGTCCATAACTTGTCTGGTTATGAACTATAACTTGACAAGTTATTGTCCATAATTCACGATTTTTATCCATAACTTGTCTGGCTATGAATCATAACTTGACAAATTTGTCCATAACTTATCTGGTTATGAATCATAACTTGACAAGTCATGACCTATTAATTTATATAACTAAAAGTTAGGCTATATACTTTCTTAAGCTTTTCATATTGATCTATTTCTACCATTTTCATAATATAATATAAGTGAATTTGAAAACATTACTTTTTTTTAGTGTTTTCTCTTTTTTAAGAACATTAATATTTTTTATTTATCAACTGTCAGATCTATATTGAAACACTACAGAAATCCTCAAAAGAAAAACTTGTTTGGACGGGAGGATAAGAAGTCCTTGCTCCGTTTATAACATTAACTCGGGGTATTTTCTCTTATTAATTCCATACAAAAAATGTCCTCGTAAAATTGAAATGAAACATCCAAAAAGGACGGATCAAGTTGTCGTTTTGCAGTATGAGAGAGAGAACTTTTTCTTAATAAAGTCAAATTAGGTGGGAGGTTTATCTATTGTCAATTTTGAAGTTTTCTTAACATCCTTGCGTAGAAAATTAAATTCAAGTGGACTTGGGCTAGAAAAAGAAGCTAATAATTTGGGCTTGCAGTCAAAAGGAGAGAAAGGCGTTACTTGTTTCTTTTCTTCTCCTTCTTTGAATACAGGAAATTTATTGAATAATGCGTTTACATGTACAAAAAATAGTAGATTCCACATTGGAATCTCTTCCAATCCATTTTACTCGCAAAAATTCTATTGATTTCTTTAAAGTATTTAACGGTGTGTTTAGTTGGTGTATTCGTGTTATAATTTGAATTATAATTCGTAGTTCGTTACAGTATTTTCTCTCATAAAAAATACACGTAAATTGAGAATGATTCTAAATTTACGAACTAAACGTCCACTAAAACTAACCAAAAACAGGACTTTAGTATTGATGAAAACAAGGTGATCAATCATCGGTAAATTGATACTGTTCAAATTTCAAACCTTCACATATAAAACATCCACATAAATGCCCATCGCCAAACTCATTTTGAAGATAAAAGTTACATGACTTTGGTAATCTTCCCTAGAAAAATTAACAATTCATTTTTTTTTATTTTTAATATCGGTGATAAGATAACTCGTCTTGTTTGATAAGACCTTGAATTGAGTCAATCCCACTGTAATAGAAGATGTACCCAACTTTATAAATACGCCACTATTTATTCTTATATATATGTTTTTTAATTTAGTACATTCTTCTCACTTTTCTCAACCAGCACAAATACAAAGAGAATAACACATTAAGAACACGCTTGGGCCAATGCCATCCAACTTATGGTCCGTTTAATTCGTTAATTCGAGTTGAGATGTAACTTTATATGAGAGTTTTTTACTGTAGCAAAAAAGTTAGATATGACTGTTTATGAGAGATTTTTACTGTAACAAAACTCGAATTCTAAACTCGAATCGGTGAAATGAACAGGGTGCTAAAATACAAATAAACCCATGCAATTTTTTCAAGAAAAAAACAAACTTAAATGCACTAACAAAGCAGTTTTGGGAGGTTTGTAAATTGTCACTTTAGACGGGTTATATATGCAAATAAAAAGCCCCAAAAATTTATGGTTAGCTGGTTTGCTTGTAAAAGAAAAAAAAAAAAAAAAAAGAGGAGAAAAATTGCAGTTTTAGGAGGGTAATTAAAACTAACAGTGAAAATTGAGAAAAAGGTTTACTAATCAGTGATGAATCTACACTCACTCTCATTTATTACCTCTAATACTTATTTTAAGAATCTACTATTTACTAATCAGTGATGAAGTCATAAATTTTTATGAAGGGGACTAATATCTACAACAAAAATTTAAAAGGACATAAAGTTGTATTTCCAATTTTTCAAAGGGGCTTTGTATAATTTTCTAAAGCTATACTTATATGTACGTAGGTAAAAAAATGAAAAGTTGACTCAAACCCCCTAACATGCATTGGCTACATATCTGTTATTAACTATCTAAAATAACCATACCTTTTTTATCTAAAAAATGAAAAGTTTATGAAATCTGCTATATACTACAAAATCTGAAGGGGGAAAAAAAAAAACTAGAAACAAACTGCAAATAAATTCAAAAAAGAAGGTTCTCATCCTTTACCAACAAAAAAAAAAAAAAAGGAGAAATAAAAAATCAAAATTGCGTAAAGCATTATGATAATGAAATATATTTAAGTTGCGTTAAAAAAAAAAATGTTCATATAATAACGAAAATAAAAAGGGGCACCCAACAATCCCATGCTCCTCATACCACCATAACAGCGTACTCCTTCACCAAAGCCGTTGACGAAGGACGACCCGTTGACATCATGAGATTTCAACGGACGGTCGTGATCGGTAATTTAGTATACATCACTCGTCTGACGAGGGTCTTCCAATTTCTCAATAATTAGTCACTTAATTAATTCTCTCTTCTCTCTCTCTCCCCTCATTTCACACTAAAACGCTCAGACAAAAACACTTTCTCTCTCTAAAAATTCGTTCTTTCTCTCTCTCTCTCTCTCTCTCTCTCTCTCTCTCTATCCCTTTCCTTTCTCTGCCTTTTCAGCTTCGCATCACCATAGCAGACGCGTCCTTCGAGCTTTTTCTCCAGGCGTCGTCGTTTTGGGCTGCGCAGACACTCCACAAACACTGTAGGTAATTGCTTTTTTATTTTATCTTTTTTTTTTTTTTTTTTTTTTTTTGGCTTCAGTGCTTTCTTCTGAGCTCAACTGAAGTCGCCGAATTGTGTAATTTTTTGGGATTTTTTTTTTTTGTGGATTAAGTTTATTGGCCTCTTAGGGTTTTGAGCTTCTTCAGTGTTGCTCGCTGTGGTTTTTGTATGGGAATTTTCATCATTGCGAGTCGCAGAACATGTCCGGTTTCAGCTTAAGCTTGTGATCATTTCTGGCTTTTTAGTACATTTTTGGTGGGGCAAATTTGATTTCTTTAATTCATATTGTGCGTTTTTATTCCTTTTGATTCTACGTTATTGATTTTGTTGAAATGAGTGCTTGAATTACGTAGATCTGTGCTGGGAAAAGTTGGTTCCGGGTTCTTGAGCTTTGAGTGTGATTAGTTGCAACAGTGGAAAAAGCGATTTGGTAATTTTAATGGATCTGCTTTAATGGCATTACGGGTATGTTAAAGTACCGTGAAGTAGTGGCAACTATTTTGCTTTTTTTTTTTTTTTTAATATATATGGGAAATGAGATTGACCTGGATTTATTGGAAATGGAAGTGAAGCTGAAGTATTCCCTTGAAAAGAGACGTAAGAATGTGAAAATGGAAGCAAATGCAGTCTGGGTGTGGTTTGTTAGTGGGTCGGGTTTCATTGATTTACCGTTTATGTTGGTGAACTTTGTGAAAAATTAACGGGTCTTTGTTTCCAGTGTGATAAGTCAACTTTCAGGTTGTCATTATGTTACTTGCATTCAAGTTATGAATTTTTAGGCTTCATAAATATTTTTGGTAAACAGCGTTTGCTCCTTTAATATAAAGCTTAGTATGTGTCAACTAATATATGTAAAGCTTTGTTTTTATTGTGTTTGTTCTGATTAAGAACTAATGTGAGAATCTTCTAATCTGATTACGAACTAATGTGAGAATCTTCTAATCTGATTACGAACTAATGTAAGAATCTTCTAATCTGTATCCAGGTTCTTAATGTGCCCTAAGCTGTTGGACAAAAGTACTTGTGTAGTATACGAGTTGCACGTCTGATCATTGATTTGGTGTAAGTGTGATAACTTTTTTTTCAGAATTAAGAGAGAGGATATTCTTTTTCTTTCTTAAAAATTAAAAAAAAATAAAAAAAAATTGAATTGACTTGTAACATAAGAATGCCTTCTTGGTGGGGTAAGTCCTCATCTAAAGAAGCAAAAAAGAAAGGGAACAAGGAGAGTTTTATTGATACAATACATAGAAAATTTAAGAGTGGATCTGAAGATAAGAGCAACCCAAGATCAGGAGGTTCTAGAAGACGTTCTGATGATTCTGTCTCAGAAAGGGGATCTCTATCTAGGTTTCCATCCAGATCTCCGTCACCTTCTACACAAGTATCAAGATGTCAAAGTTTTGCAGAAAGGCCTCTTGCCCAACCACTTCCCCTTCCTAGGGCACAACCTCCTAGTATTGGACGTACTGACTCTAGCATTAGTACACCATCAAAACCGGAACTCGACAGGCGGTCAAAGCCATTGTTGGTTTGTCCTGTTCCAAAACCTTGCTATGGACTGAACAGGGCAGATCCTACTGATGTTGAGGGAGATATAGCCACTGCTTCTATTTCTAGTGATAGCTCCCTTGACAGTGAGGACCCATCTGAGTCACGTCTTCTAAGTCCTCTTGCATCTGACTATGAAAATGGGAATAGAACTGCCATGAACAGCCCTACCAGGTAATGTTTGTAAATATCATTGAGAACAATTGTGTTTTTTTCTTTGATGGTTGATAAAATGTCTAACTAATTTTACATTTATCTGGGTGAAGTGTAATGCACAAGGATTCATCCCCCACTTTCAACCAAAAGAACTCAAAGGACACGTTGAAGCCATCACATCTTCTTTTTAGTAATCAGATTTTGTCTACATCTCCTAAAAGGCAACCCTCAGGCATGCCTATGCAAAATTTGCAGATTCCTTCCCATGGTGCTTTTTGTAGTGCTCCAGATAGCTCAATGTCAAGTCCTTCTAGGAGTCCAATGAGAGCATTTGGTGCTGAGCAATTTCTGAATTCTGGTTTTTGGGCGGGAAAGCCATATCCAGATATAGCCTCCGCACATTGCTCCAGTCCAGGTTCAGGTCATAATTCTGGGCATAATTCAGTAGGAGGTGATCTGTCAGGACAACTATTTTGGCAGCACAACAGATGTAGCCCCGAGTGCTCTCCAATACCTAGCCCCAGAATGATCAGCCCTGGTCCCAGCTCCAGGATACATAGTGGGGCTGTGACCCCTCTGCATCCGCGAGCTGGAGGAGCAGCAGCAGAGTCACCTACAAGCAGGCCTGATGATGGGAAGCAACAAAGCCATCGATTGCCCCTTCCACCAATAACAGTTGCAAATACTAGTCTATTTTCTCCTACATACTCTGCCTCAACTACTCCGTCGGTTCCACGTAGCCCGGGTAGGGCAGAAAATCTAACAAGCCCTGGTTCACATTGGAAAAAAGGACGGCTTCTTGGAAGTGGCACCTTTGGTCATGTATATCTCGGCTTCAACAGGTTTGTTGTTTGAGGGCTTTTCGCTGTTGCGTGTGTGATACTAACTATTTTCCTTGCAATTTAGCACTTTAATGTAAGCACATTGCAGGATATAGAAATGACTTTTTGTTTTTTAGCATATTGCATTGCATTTTCATTTGGTTCCCGTTCATGTTGAACCATATAACTTAGTGTCTTTTAATTTGGAGAGTTGATGATTTCCACCCTTTACATTTTATATAGGCTTGTTCTTTTTTATTTTTTTATTTTCCATCCGTTAGTTACAATGCACAAACTCTTTCCTGATTTGGTTTGGTTTTGGACTTCAGTGGAAGTGGTGAAATGTGTGCAATGAAGGAGGTAACTCTATTTTCGGATGATGCAAAATCAAGAGAGAGTGCACAGCAGTTGGGACAAGTATGTTTCTTTATGGTGTATTGTTGGAAATTTGTTGGTTCCTAGAACTAGATTATGTTCTTTACTGATCTTGTTATTTTTCAAGTTTAAGGAGATTTTACAGTTATCAATTCTATTTTGCAGGAAATTGCTTTGTTAAGTCGCTTGCAACATCCAAATATAGTGCAGTATTATGGATATGGGATAGTAAGTTCCATAAACCTGTTGGCTTAACGTCCATTATAGTTTCTTGCACAAGCTTCGGTTTTTCATATAAATACCGTTCCAGACTTCTTGAGACCTTTATGAATTTTTTGTGCTTAAGTCAGTTAATGGTATTTAAGTGCTTTGAAAGTAGTAACTTCTAACCAAATTGATCGTTAGTAGCAAAAAAAAAAAAAAGCCTAATTGATTTTTTTTTTTAAAAAAAAAAAAAATAAGGGATCATACTTGTTGGTATGTGCCTATGTGGTTGCTTGAAGTTATTTTATTCCAATTTTTTTTTTTCATCAAAGGGATTGTCATTGATGCTTAAGTCTTAACTTCTCTATTCGCTTTGTGGCTTGAACAGGTAGATGACAAATTATATATATACTTGGAATATGTATCGGGTGGATCCATTTATAAATTGCTTCAAGAATATGGCCAGTTGGGTGAACTTGCTATTCGGAGTTATACTCAACAGATTTTATCAGGCCTTGCATATTTACATGCTAAAAACACTGTCCATAGGTAAGTATGGGTACTTAGATGATACTCTAAAAAATTTAACACTTTCATTTACTCTTATCATTCTCTTATTTTGATTGTATGGTGGCTAATGAGCTTAATTTCTTTTCAGGGACATTAAAGGAGCAAATATATTAGTAGATCCTAGTGGCCGTGTGAAATTGGCAGATTTTGGAATGGCAAAGCATGTAAGATCACTAACTGCAGATTCATCACAACTGAAAAAAAAAAAAGAAAAAAAAAAAAGAAAGAACAATTTCCCTGTTTCAGGAATCAAAACAAGATTTATTGACACGCTGAACAAGAAGTCAATAATACAGTGTTAATTAGGGTTGATAGCTTGTCTTAAGCCGAACTAATTTTGTTCGCCATCATTTCAGCTGTGGATTCTTATCTAAAATTTTTAAATAATTTCAGATTACTGGGCAGTCTTGTCCGTTATCATTCAAGGGAAGCCCCTATTGGATGGCACCTGAGGTCAGCATAGTTTCATTTCCCGACTTATTAACCACTTTTGTTTAGGCCATGGCCATGTAGTAACGGTATTCAATAAATTGTTTAGGTTATCAAGAACTCAAATGGCTGTAACCTTGCCGTTGATATATGGAGCCTTGGGTGCACTGTCCTTGAGATGGCTACTACAAAACCTCCGTGGAGCCAGTATGAGGGGGTGAGTAAATTTTGATACAGAGGCTAGAATATTAGAGTTCCCCTCATCTTAACATCTGTCAATTGGAGTTATATCGGTTGTTTGATGTTTAACTTTTCTGTGTTATGTACTTCTTCAAAGGTGGCTGCTATGTTTAAGATTGGAAACAGCAAGGAACTTCCTGCAATTCCTGATCATTTGTCGGCTCAGGGAAGGGACTTTGTGTTACAGTGCTTGCAAAGGAACCCACTGCATCGTCCCACCGCTTCTCAGCTTTTGGAGCATCCCTTTGTTCAAAATGCTGCTCCGCTGGAGAGACCCATTCCAAGTGCCGAGCCTTCAGAAGGACCACCGGCAGCAACAAATGCCATGAGATCTCTGGTATTAGCTTTGTCCTACTTCTATTGGATACTATTTCATGTCCTTCGATTGTTTGGCCTGCCAAAGAAAGCGAGTTAAAATCACCAGTGCAGTCACTTTGTCCGTCAACACATCTGCTGTGTTTTTTATCATAAATTATTACCTCTGGACCTTTATGTGTGGACAATGATATGTGCTTGTCGAAACTTTGTGCTTCTATACCTTCAAGTTAAATCAACTACTGCGAATAATCAACGTGTTTCTGATTGTTGGCTGAATTTACTTCAGGGAATTGGAAATGCAAGAACCTACGCGAGCATAGATTCAGAAGGTGTGGGTAACCATCAGTCTAGAGGCTCAAAAATTGGTGCGGGATCCAGGTATTTCTCTCTCTTACACACATGTTCGCGTGCACGCACAAGTATATGCGCTTTTGTGTGCACTAGTATAAAACTTTTTATTCATCCTCTGCATTCCGTTTAAGAGAAATGAAATACTAGCATCAAAATGAGAGGATTATTTGATTACTAAATTGTTGGGTATTTAGTGGCACCTTGTTTACCCTAATTTCTTTCCACTCATTTAACATTTAAGCTTTAAAAAAAAATTATTTATTTATTTTTTAGGTCCCAAGTAAGATTATTCTCATATATGTTTATTTGACAAATATTTTAACTTTTTCTTTCCGTTGCTGCTTCCCAGTGATGTTCATACGCCAAGAAATATATCATGCCCAGTTTCTCCTATTGGCAGCCCACTTCTACATTGTAGATCACCACAACATATGAGTGGGAGGATGTCTCCGTCTCCAATATCCAGCCCCCATACTGCGTCCGGTGCATCCACACCTCTCACCAGTGGCAGTGGCGCCCTCCCATTCCATCATCCAAAGCAGCCTGGAACCTATATGCATGAAGGTATGGGGACAATCCAGAGGTCTCAAAATAGTTTCTATACAAATGGCAGCACACATTATCATGAGCCAAAGCCCGAACTCTTTCGAGGAATGCCACAAGCCTCTCATGCTTTCCAGGATATTATATCTTCTGAAAATAGCACACTTGGAAATCAGATTGGGCGGCCTGCTTCTGGGGAATTCTATGATGTTCAGTCCGTTCTGGCTGATCGTGTCTCTCAGCAGTTATTGAGAGATCATGTAAAGCTTAATCCATCGCTGGACTTCAATTTGAGCTTGCCAATGCTGGATCGGACTAGTGGTATCTGATTACATGGCTGAGACTCCTGCCGAAGCAGGACTTCCAGGCATGTCTGATGCTTTTGACGCGTTTAAGTTGGTTTTTATACATTCTTGTTGCAGAAAGGTCCTTTCTGTAAGTTAGGAACCAAAATTTGACGATTGAATAAGCTGGAAGTCTGATCGGTAAAAGAGAGCTACTGGGTTCTCGGTCATCAAATTCCAGTGATGAGCAGTATTCCTGACAAGAGGCTTTGTAGTTCACCTGCGCTGAGTAGAAGTTCCGCACAAAGGATAATCCTTCAGCCGTGTAAAGAAATGTACATTTTCATCACACCCGAAAAAGAGAAGGCAAAAAAAGTTTTAGATGACCATTACCATTTGATCCCTCGGATATCCCTTTTTTTTTTTTTTTTTTTTCCGTTTACCTTTTCATCGGAAGGAAAGGGGGCGGCGGCGGGGAAAGCAGCAAAAATTATTGTACAAAAGGTTGGAACTAAATTGGAACTGAGATTTTGTGAAGATGGCGATAAAATTGCCAGGCTTTGTCTGTTAATCCCCTCTTGTATCGGTCGGTTTATATAGCAGTATCAGTCCCAAACTCCTGCAAGCAATGGGCTGTGCTGCTGATACCGTTGTACTTAATTTATACCTGCATCAAATGGGAGAAATCTAATTCTTCTTGTATCTCTCTCTCTCTCTCTCTCTCTCTCTCTCTCTCTACATATATAGATATATATATCACTTTTCTCTGCGTTGGTCTTCATCCTTTGGCGTCAGTTTCTTATAGACAAAAGCTGGTGAAAAGAATGTTATAGGAATGTAGATACAGAAATCTTATCCATGTCATATCTCTTTCTTCTTTTGCGATTAACTCTGGTTTGGTGCCACCTATGCTACAAGTTTCGCATAATAGATCCTATGTTTGAGCTTATAGATATCATATATATGATATGACATGGTATGCATGAACATTTTTTGTTTTTATGTGCAATAAACGAGGGGCATACCTAGGAATCTTCTTGGCAATCAAAAAAGAGGAAGAAGTGATTCAAAAATGATATTAAATTATGGGGGAAAAGAAAAAATCTCATTTCTTAATTCTTATTCTTGTAGCCTGTAGGTGTCTTTTTCCCTAGAGCCCAACTGCTCATGTCATGAAGATGCTGCCAATACCAACCATGTGGGACACCATCACTAAAATAAATTTTTTTCCTTTAAAAAACAGAAGTTTTTAGGTGGAATTATACACTAATGATGTCTGTTTCTAAGCATCATATTATATCAAAACTACATCTAAAAAAAAGTATATAAATTTGACGATAATGGTTTAAAACTGTGATGCACTTTTACAATGAGGGTACAAAACTTTACCCAAACAACAAGCGCTTGAAGGATGACGTGTAAAAACGACAATGAGGTACAAAACAGCAAATTGTTCAAAGAACGACAATAGAATATGAAAACGGCTGTAAAAGACAATAACAAACGAGATTACTACATCGAAACGACAACATAGCATTCAAACGACAAGACACTGAAAAGGACACCGGGCCAAACGACAAACAATTTTTGGAAAAACAGCATAGTCGCATACCTTAAAAACTCAAATGATAACGTCTCAGAAGTCAGAACACGGCACTATCTGACTTAAACGATGATAGTTGAGAAGAACGACGACATCTCTTTACAAACAACAACATACTGGAAAAACGCCAATATGCATGTAATCACAATAAGGTTACAACTTACAAACGAGTATGTCAAACGAACAGCACTAACAAAGACAAACGACAGTACATTCAAAAGCAAAACTGGTTTTATATCACAGTAACCAAGAAAAACGACAATCTATAATGTACTTAACAATTAGTTCAAGAACATGTCGAAAGAATGACAACTTATAACCTAAATAAAAAAATACCGAAAATGAAAGAAGAAATAAAAAGAAAATAAACGCATCCCTATTGAAACAAAATTAATTATTGTCATCACATATAAATGGCAGCGATTGAAAGTACGTTAGATGTTTTATGAAACATGATTTGTAAGAGTGTAAATATTCCGTACATTCTACAGTTACTTTAGCCAACTATAACACGCAAAAAAAAAAAACAAAAAAACCGACAACAACACCAACATCATAGGCCACAATATTCTCTAAACTTATATTACACTTAGAGACGAAACAAGTTTTTAACTCAAAGAAGATAAATATATCACAAACAACAGCAATTTATACCAAAAAGAAAGACTTGATATCAAAAGAATTATACAGTTAAGTTCTATGAATCATTTTGTTCTTGAACTCGGTTGGCCCGTTTGATTCATAAAAATAAATTTAACAAAAAAATAGAGAATTTACCCTTTAGAGTGCATGAGTATGGACCTTTACCCCTTACTCTTGATAAATACCCTTTAGTTAGTGTAATTATTTGACTAAAAAAGTTATGAATCAAGAGCAAAGGGTAAAAATCTTGACCCATGCACTTTCAGAGGGTATTTGTCAATATTACCCTAGATTTAAACAGAAAAGTTTGAACATAAATTTAATTTTTGTGAGAGAAAATATTTTAACAAAAAGGTTTGAATAACAGTTCGAACCTATGAAACAAATGGGTGAGGTATACATTGAAAATTCTAAAATCCAACTACTTTTGCTTGGTTAAGCTCAAGCTAAAATCCCAGTGCTTCTTGGCCAATTCCGCGTCCTTAGCCAGAGAGCTTGGATTGGCTTTGTTACTGTCCACAAAATACTCGCCGGTTACTCCTTGAAGCTGTGGATGCAATGCCACATAGCACTGTGTTGCTGCTCCCTAAAATTGTTCCCAAAAATGCAGAACAGAACAACCAATATTTAAGACAGTTTTGTTTGGATTCGCAAGTAAACACTCGTTAGATCGATCATGACCGTGACTTGTAAATTAAGTAGCGCAACAAGTGCGTTGTCATTTTTCAATTGGTAGAAAAACTTGCTAGAAAATATTCGTGGAAATTTGTATTCATTTGCCACCTCAATTAATAAGTGAGGTATTTATTTCCAAATAGTAAAATTTATTTACCTGCTGAGGCGTTTTGACCATGTATTGAAGCACATATTTTCCAAGCACTCTCACAACATCTGCATCAACCGGGAAACAATGTACCAAAAGATGTTATACTTCAGTTTTCACGAACCACACATTTTCCAAGTATTGTCACGATCTAGTTGGGATGTACGAAGTTAGTCCGATGCTAGTTGCACTCTCTTTCTCATTTAAAAAAAAAAAAAAAAAAAAAAAACAGAGAGAGAGATAGAGAAGAGAGAGAGAGAGAGAGAGAGAAGTTCTTGTGGGTAGAGCTTAAAGTCAGTCCAACAAGAAATTCAAGTGGTTCAAATATGGGAACATGTAATAGAACAATATGTAAATTAGAGCTTGTAGATATACCAAAGAAGAAACCAGAGCTGCGAAGAATATTTGTAGCAACTGCTCCAGGATGAACTGAATTTGAAGTTATATTCACTTCTTCTGACTGTTGAAAGGTAAAATAGGAGATAAATATAAAATAAAAAAAATACATCAAATTTTGCCTCATATTATGACATGAAAATTGTAACAAAGGAAAGAATGTAACTAGAGATGATCCACTTCATAATTAATGTAAATACCAAGTTATTGGTGACCATTTGTTGTAGATAACTAGATATTCTACCTTCAAAATCCTTGAAAGCTCGTTGGAATGCAATATGTTGGCAAGCTTTGATTGTCCATAAGCTTGCATAATCTTGTAGCTGTACAACCAACTAAAAGGTCATTTCAAGGATGCCAAAGAAGTTTTATGGCATGAAACTAATAACATCCTATAAACTCTGAAGATATGAATTGACATATGACTGGGTCTCTTTTGCGACATGTAAAGACTTAGAAGTATGAAATGTTAAAGTAGTACCTTGACTTGTCGTTTATCTTGTCGAAAGCAATCCCTTCGGAACATGTAAACCGATGAGCCTCTGATGACACATTCACAATCCTTCCCTCTCTACTGCTTTTTCTTGATGTCTTTTTCATGGTGTCCAACAAAAGGTTTGTCAAAAGAAAATGACCTACAAAAGGGTAGTGATATTACCGCCAGGATTCCCTTTTTACTTGGAGATCACCAGGGTCAATTCTCAATCAAAATAAGCTTGCTAAGAAGAGAGAAACTGAGAAATTAGAGGTTAAAATTAATTATGTAAATAGTATGTTGGAATTTCTCTAATGATTCCCCTATTCCAATTTGTCCAAGATTAACGTACCTAAATGATTGGTTGCAAAATGCATTTCAATGTTATCTTCAGAAAGTGCAAATGGAGCTCCCATTATCCCTGCATTGTTACTTCTCACAAGGAGAGAGAAGAGAATTTCACCTTGATTAGCTGATTAAAAATTTAAGCATTGAATTAAAAACTATAGGTCCAAGGTGATATGATTCACTAAAGCAGCTCAAAATTCAAGTTCTTACATGAGGATATTCAAAGGAAGACCAGATGAGTTATAATCCGACGCGAATTTTCGCACTGATGCCAATGAACTGAGATCTAATTCCATGACATCAATTTTTGCAGTTGGGATTTTCTTAGTTATTTCTTCTTTCACATTCTTTCCAGCGTTCAAATTCCTTACTGCCATAATGGTATTAACACCACACAGCGCAAGAACTCGTGTTGTCTCCGCGCCAATACCACTCGATGCTCCTACAAATCAAGATTAACGAGAGAAATGAAGTCTCACCTAATTTACTTGGAATAGCTTGGCTCACCTATTGAGCCAATAAGTCCAGGGAGTAATGTGTCAAGAAAAGAAGTTCGGGGAATGAAAGTGGCACAATACTGACAGTTTAGGGACTAACAATGCTAATTATCTTTCTTGTGGTTGTTAAACAGTACGCATGCATCTGTGTAAAATATAGCCTATTAACTAAGGAAGAAAGGAAAACAAAAAACCAAAGGACCTTCTAAAAAGGATGTAATGATAATAAACAGAATAATATTGTCCTCAGAAAAAAAGTCGTCTCACCCTATAGTGGATAACATATATACAGACCATTTGGACCATTAAATTTAAGCCAACAGAAAAAACGAGTTATATCATCAAAATAAGTAATCATTAAACTTCAGAAGAAGAAAAAATGCATCTTGAACGTCAATAATTTCTGGTCTTCACCATGTCTTTTAATCAAAATTCTATGTCATCAAATCACCAAACGGAACTTGACAAAATAACAAGAGTATGTATATATAGAAGCAGTCAACAAAAAAGGTCAAAAACTCATTAATTAAATTTTTTTTTTTAAAACTTACTTTCCCTCTTTCTGATTAACCAAACAGAAAGGAACATGAGCAAAAAAAGAGGAACTCAAAAAAAAAAAAAACAAAACCTGTAACAATGGCAGTGAGACCAGTTCCATCAATTCCTTGAGTAACTTCCTCTGCTGTGGAACGAGCAGAGAACCCAGATGGGCCTTTCCATCCAAAAATCCACATCCTCTACAGATTGTGCTTGTTTGCTCGAACGCCTCAGACAATTCTAACAAACTCCAAACTTTGAGGACTTCACAACTTCAGAGTCAATACCCAACCGCCAACTTTTGGACTCATCACTTACTGCAGATGACCAACTCTCTTTCATACATGTATTAAATATATATGTGTCTGTGTGTGTGTGTATATAGTGCAGACCAACTTTTGCTTCCTCAGACAGCAGGTAAAAATCTTTCTTTTCTTCTGGAAGCATAAATAGAACTTTTAAGACTGATTGTGTGTTGTAAATGACCAATCTGATGATGGCTGCTCAGGTGTGAAAGAGCCATGGTCCATTTATTTAGCTGACCAGGGCATGCGTAATTGCTGGAGATTTCTGCGTGGCTCAGATATATGGGGGTGGGCCCAGTTCCCACTCCCCTTCATTGTTGAGTCCTTTATTCAAATGTCAAAGGATGTAGACGATTGTTATATTATTGTTTTTTTTTTTTTTTTTGTTCTTTTTCAATCATTGGTTCATCATGTCTTTCCCTTCGTCTATAGCGTTGTTGTAGTAGTGGCAAATATAAGGGAGGACGAGCTATAAAAAATGAATAATTTATTGTTTATTCAATTAATGTTATCTTATGATTTTTGAAAGTAGATTTCTCAAATCTTTTCACGGTGAGGCTTAGTTTGATATTGCTTTTTCTTTCTAAAATTAACTTCTTTGTAGCAGAAGCTAATTTTAGTGTTTGGTAAATCTCCTCAAAAGTGCTTTTTGAATAATTTTTCAAGAATCTATGATCAAAATCAGAAACAGCCTAAAAACAACTTTAACTTTTAGATTGTGCGGGAATCAACATAGTACAATTAATGAAACTTTCATAATACCCATAATACCCCTAATAAAATTTAAAATTTACAATCTTCTCAATCTAAAATTCAAACTCGTAATATAATATAATATTACAACAAATAATATCATAATTATATTAATAACTCTAATATTATTATTTTATCATATAATATGATTTTATAATAATATTATAATTATTTTAATAATATGATATTATAATTATAATATAATAATCAAAAATAGTTATAATCACATGGTTCTAATCCATGAATTAAACGTCTCCTAAGTGATGAGAATCCAATGTCAAGCATCCCTATTTTCTTCAAAGGATTTACTAATTAGACTTAATGAGCAAAATAATTAGCCATTAGCATACAAAAGAGAATTCATTTATCTTTTTCTTTTTTTTCTTTTTTTTTTTTTGCCTTATTGCTACTGACTAATTAGAAAAATTAGCTAATTAAACATCCCATATTGATGTTTTAATAAGTTTAAAGGAGACACTTGCACTATTATATTATCTTATAAAATAATATAATATAATATAGTTGTTGTTTTTAATTATATTATAACTGACTATTATTATTTTTTATGTAATATTATAATATGTGTTATAATATTATAATTATATTAACCATTTTAATAATATTATTATATTCTATATCATAATTATATAATATTAAATATAATAATAAATATATATTATATTGTAATTATATATTATATTATAGTATAATATAATATAGTCTTAATTTTTAACTATCCGCAGCAATTTAACCTCATAATTTATCAAACGCTATTATACTGATTTTAAAACCAGCACAATTACTATAATTATAGTTTACCAAACATTAGGGCTGGCAATATGGGTCACGACACGACTCGAAAACGACACGAATTTTACGGGTTAAGGTTGAGAAAAAAGAGATTCGGCTCAGAATTGGGTCGACTTGAAATTGACACGAAAAACACGGGTCAATTTCGAGTTGGACCCGCCTAACCCGAACACGACACGAAACTCGTAAAAAACTAAAAAAATACATATATTTTTCATTTCATATTTTAAATTTTATTATGAACTTGTGATATCATAATAGTTATACTCAAAATCTTATACTATTATTTACTTAATTTCAATAGATGTTATTGTAATTTAGTGTGTTATGAATTTTAAGTTATTTCTAATATGTAAAAAACTAAATAAAAGTGTACAATTTTCGTGTCAATTTCGGATTCACGGGTCAATTTCATGTCACGGGTCATTTTCGGGTTGTGTCGTGTCAACTCGTAAAGTGGTCGTGTTGCGGTTTTTAAAAAATTTCGTGTCACGGGTCGTGTTCGGGTTGACTGTAAATTTAAAAAAAATAATCAAAACACAACACGAATACATAACACGAATTGCCACTCCTACTAAACACTTAGTTGCTTTATGTAATAATTGCTTCTTTTTTCAGCACAGCTAAAAGTAATTTTTTTTAAATCTACAACACTACCAAACTAAGCCTAAAGTAGATTTGAAGTTTATTTCGAAGGTTTGAGTGGCAACTCGAGCTGAAATTTAAGATATGTTTGTTTAACTAATTTGAGTTGTGTATGTAAAAAAAAAAATATTGTAGAAAAAAGTTAAATTTAAATTTTTTTGAGAAAAAACATAACTTGAGTTATGAAAAAGAATTATGTTTTAAATTTTTACAAGAATAAACACTATGAAAATAACGGGTGGCAGAATCTCTCCGTCTCTCAAACTTCATATCTCCGTTTTCTCCCTCTAGCCAAACAGGGTGTAGAAGATTTATTATTGGGTTTCTTCAATATTTGTGTTGCATCTGTTTACCTTAGACTCTACCATTCTCTTTACTATGCAGTAGCATTACAGGGGTGACAGGAATACAAGTTTTAGTGTTGAATTTCAAACATATCATTTTTGAAAAAAATAATAATAATAATAAGTTTAATTGTTCAATCAAAATAGTATAGATGAGTAACCAGACTTCAAAAGTGATATACAGCCTAATTAACACAACATTACTTAGCTTCTATTATATGAAGCTTCTTATTGCATATTTACAACATCCCTCATCTTAGGTTCAACAAATATGTAAATTTAATAAGGAAAATAGTAGAAAATAGGCCAATATGAAAAGTTTAAGAAAGTATATAGATCAATTTTTAATTATAAAAATTAATAGGCCATTACTTGTTAAGTTATGGTTCATAACCAGATAAATTATGAACAAACTTGTCAAGTTATGGTTTATAGCCAGACAAGTTATGGACGAAAACAGTAATTTAGCATATTTATTAACTTATGTAAACTATTGGCCTATTAATTTTAATTCATCTCAAGTCTTGTCATATTTCCCTCTTTCTCCCATTTAATAATTCAAAATACTTGGGAGTATTTTTATTTGTTGTATCTTACTACAGAATTTCCCCCAACACTACAAGCAAATAAAAAGTAATTAAACATAAATCCTTATTCCAAGCAAGAAAGTCACAGTACAAACAAAGAGAGTTAAAAATAAATCCACAATATAATAGCGTACCTTTTGGAGGATTAGAAATTTAATACCAAAATACCAAGGGTACTATTTGAGCCCGCCATAAAAGGTATTTCCAATCGTTTATATACAGTCTTGGCAGTATTTCTATAGTTAAGTTTGTACTTCGACTGGTTTTATACACCAAGGTTTGATTTGGTAACTCTTGACCAAGTTATTTTTTTATTGAGATACGTGACCAAGAAAGTTTAAAATCTAAACCGTGAGTATAAACTATTTTGGATCAGTCAAAGCTCAAACTGAACTCCCAAAGTTTCTTTGCCAGATCCGCATCTTCAGCAAGAGAGCTTGGATTGGCCTTATTGTTGTCCGCGAAATATTCTCCACTTACTCCCTTAACTTGTGGATGTAATGCCACATAGCATTGAGTTGATGCTCCCTAAAATTATGCCCATGAAAAAGTTAGAAAAAAACAACTTCAAGTTTTCACTAAAGCTAGAACTGCAATTACTCACACGGATTAATCAAAATATGGCGCCGGTCGCATGCATAGCCTAACAGTAATTCCACACTTAACTCCACTATAAAATTTAGAGTTCAAATTCTCACCCCAATTACTCACATGCATCATGCATTAATCAAAATATGACCATAACAACAATTACATGTATAACCTAACACTAATTTTGCACCTAACTCTTATCATAAAATCTAGTGTTCAATCCCAACCCCAAATTCAATATATATATATATCAAGCCCCAAAAAGAAGGGTACACAATAAGAAACAAAACAATATCAAATGAAGTGAATTAGTAGCCGAAAAAAAGGGAAAAGAAAATAAAGAAAAAAAATTACCTGCTGATCATAGTAATATTTACATGACATGAAATTGGAAAATCTATTCACGTGTGGGAAGATAAATGACATGTCATTTAAAGAACATAAATGACATTTCTATAAAAAAAATAATAAAAGAGTATAAATGATATAAATAATAAAAGGTGCTATCTTGTAGCCATGGACAAAAATTTCTCCCGCTACTTTCATTGATATCGATTTATTCCCAAACTTTTTTTAATATCTAGGTACCAATATTTCCATCAATACAAGTATTTTCATCATTTCTTGTAGCATGTAGGAACTAGGGAGGACACCACATATACTTTTTTCTTCGAGGACACAAGAAAAAGTTAATTTGTGTAGTAAGGCCCCATTTATTTCGTTGGTTCGAATCACAACTCAAGTTTTTGCTACAGTGTTTTTTCTCACAAAAATTCAAATTCAACTTTTTGTGTTGTAGTGTTTTCTCTCACATAAATTCACTTTTTAACTCAAGTTCTCAACTCGAATCAGCGAAACAAATGGGACTCAGTACATGTTTACAATTAATTACCGTTAAAAATCTTCAGTGATAAGAAAAAAATCTCATTAAAAAATATTTTTTTTTTAAGGGAAGTGAAAAATTACAATTGGTCGTTCTAAAATCTGAAACCTTTTAGAATTCGAAGTCCTTTGGTTTGTTCTTCATCCTTCATTTAATTTCCCTATATCACGACAACGACAACAATTTGGAAAACGGGACCATGACAATCGTGCCAATCGCTAACAAATACAATAATTGAAAAACGACAACATATCCTCAAACGACAAAAGGTCAAAATGGAAGCACCTCTGAAACGACAGCACAAAATAAAACGACAGTAAGGGTAGAGACGACAGCGTAAACCAGAAAATATATATTACGAACGACAACATATAAGTGATAAACCCAAAAAAGAAAACATATTAATTATTTCACAAACGAAAAAAAAAATTCATATTATTTATGACAACATATAGGAGGATAGTATACCCTCAAGCAATTAAGAAAAAATAGGAATGAAGAAATTTCCTAAAACGACAAGAAAATCATAGAAACGACAGTGATTTGAAAAACGAGACAAGCAAGAAGCAAACGGTATATCATGCATACAAATGCACCACATTAATCAAAACTAGAAATCCAATTGATTGATATA